TGCCTTGGAACACTCAGTACTAAATGGGATGTGTCCATCGAACCTTTCCCCTTGGGGTTCGGGGAACTTTGCAAATAGGAGGCAGAAGATTGTAAGAGCCAGTGGAGATGGAAGGCACCAAGGAAACAAAGCATTCTAGATACTTCAGGACTGATGCACATATGAACTCACGGAGACTGTGGCAGCACACACAGGGCCTGCATGGGTCTGCACCACATGGCGTCTAGGTGCTGAGAGGAGAAGTGGACACAGCCCCTCTTCCAACCCAGAACCTATCTCTAATTGACTACCGCTTACAAGGAAAAATTCGTTTTCTGCAATGGAGTCTCGCTGAAGATACAAACCATTCTTAAGGGCGGGTCCACACTCAGCAGTAGGTGGACAACATGAAACAAACTCAATGGTATTTTTAAAGTTTCTTTTTTGTCTCACAGTGCTTTTTTCAGGGAATATTTGTTTATTATTTGTTACCTTACAGATCTTTTGCTTATATATTATGGTTCCTGATTTTGTGTTTTTAGGTATCTCAGTTTGTGTAAATGTTGTCTACACCTGTATGCCTTTCTTGTGCTTTTTCTTTGGCTCTTTCTTTTCTGCTTGAGGTTTTTTGGTTTGTTTGTTTTTTATTTTTGTCCTATGATTTGTTTTTATTTTATTTTTTTAGATGCCTGTTTTGTAATGAGAGAGAGAAAAAAAGGTATAGATTTGGGTGGTTGAGGAGGTGGGGGGGGGGATCTGGAAGGAGTTAGGGGAGGGGAAACCATAATCAGAACTTGGTGTGGAAAAAAAACTATTTTAATCAATCAAACAAACAAACAGTAACTTAGTAACCATCACAAAACCCTACTCTGGAAAAAGTCTGACCTATTCTTAGAATGTTTCGCTTTTCCCTTACATCAATGCAGGAAGAATCATCTCCATTTAAGTTTGCTCATAGACAATCTATCCAAAAGCTAAACAAAGTATCCTCCTTGAGAAGTCTGTACTTACTGCTTGAGTGTGTACATTACCTTGCAATAAAGTTCCTCATAATTGTAACCTCTCTTAACTCTTTTTTCTTATGTTAGCAGGACATTGCAAACATTGTAGATGTCTCAATGTGGCCTATGTCTGAGATTTCATGGGCCTTCACCTACTGGTAACTCCTGGCACTGAAAGGCTCTTGATTTGCAAAAGCTCCCCAGAGAATTCTTCCATTACTATACAAAACCTTTTTCTCCTTTTTGAGACTATCTTAGATTATTTTTAAAGGGAGATTATAATATTCAGCATTAATTTTAAAGACTTTATGACTGTTAATTTAACTGAGCAGCCAGGGACCTTTCCACAGATTAATTCAAATCTTAGCAACATCAATAACCCAACAGTATATGTAAAAACAACAAATTATATAAAAATAAGTTACTAGCTAGGCAGTAGTGGCACAGGCCTTTAACCCCAGCACTCAGGAGGCAGAGGCAGGCAGAGCTCTGTGGGTTCCGGGCCAGCCTGCTCTACAAAGTGAGTTCCAGGACAGCCTGAGCTGTTACATAGAGAAACCCTGTCTCCAAAAACAAAAACAATACAAAAAAAACAAATCAAATAAAATCAAAATAAGTTACTAATCACTTGTTACCATGAACCACAATAGTATATACATTTTATATCATTACTAAGTGTAAAAGTGTTTCTTGAAAACTTAATCTTCACTGTGTCCAATGCACTCTGGTATTTTTAATGTCTCATTTACTTTTGAAATACTGCTGATCAGAACTCATGAAATTGACTTCATAATTCTATCATGGAGTTTCAATTTACATTATAAAATGCTTGGGCTAAGACTAATTTTTGCCTATTGTTTCCAAAGTATTTCTGGTTTTACACTGACGTAATAGAAATTTTCGGTCATTCCAGTTCCCTGACTGACTTCTTGACTCACTGTGATCTTTCCTTTCACATTTTGTCAGCTACCCTGTGCCATAGTTAGATACTTTTGTTTATATCATAGTCAAAAACTTCATTTAAAACTTTTATTTTACATGTATTTGTTTTAACTACACGTGTGTGTATGTATGTGCATGGACACGAATGCCATGGTGCCCATGTGGAGGTCAGAGGATAACTTGTGGGAGTTGGTTCTGTCCTTACTTTTACCATGTGAGTTCCACAGATCAAACTCAGGTCATCAGCCTTGGTGAGTCATTGGTGGTGCCATTACTGAATTAGCCAACTCACAGGCCCCCAAATCTCATTTTAATGTATTCTATTCTCACCTTTAGTAATTCTCTAGATTATTGAACACTCCTAAAAGTCACTGGTTATATATGTTCATCTCATACCTCTGATTCCATCATTGTTTTATATCCTTTCATATGGATCCTATCCATATCCTTTTATGTAGAGAGAGAGAGAGAGAGAGAGAGAGAGAGAGAGAGAGAGAGAGAGATTACATTTCACAGTCAGTCTCCATAATTATCCTTTTCATATATCTTCAGCTCCCCCTGGAAATATTTTCTTTGGTAAACATTCAAAACTAGTTAAATCAAGCTAACCCATTTAACTTCTCAAACAATTTAGTAACAAGGCTATCAGGAGGCATACAGCATCAGCAGAGAAGGTGTCCAGAGTAGAAGGGATAGCCATGGTAGCTTTTCATGGAGTATCCGTGGCCTGTAAGGTGAGAAGTGAATTTAGAGTGCACCACTCGCGTGTCAGAGTCAAAGGGTAGAGGTGAGAAGGGTATCTATGATGATGGAAAATACCTACTCTGGGGTTTCAAAAGTGGATGTAAAATTTAACACATCTGTCAGAAGGCCATACTGCTGAAGACTCAACTTACTTATGTTGTCTAACATGAAAAAAAAATCAAGGTCGTCTCCAGCTAGAAGCTTCCTCTCTACTTACTAGCATTTATGGTGCTGGAAGGTACTTTGCATATTACCAGAGGAGAAAAGTAATGGTCAATTTCACCCAGCTACAAACACCGTGACCTACAACAGAGACCTGCCTGTAAGATATACTGAGGCAACAGTGGCACAAATCTTGTGGGAGTAACCAACTTCTTTTTTAAATTGGATTTAAGGCCCACCTCATGAGATAGAACCTATACCTGATACTGGTAAAATCGCCAAGAACCTGGGACTAGATAGGTCATAAGCTTTGGGGAAAATCTACTACTATTTTTCTGCTAAAGGGACATGGCAACAAAATGACTCCTAATGACATATTGCTATACCCATAGATAAGTTCCTCACTCAACCCTAATCAGAGAGGCTTCTTCTTGCAATAGGTTTTAATTAATACAGGGACCTACAACTGAGCAATATGTAGAGAGTAAGAGACTTTGGACAACTTGGTCCTAAATGGAATGTCTTTATCAAACCCCTCCCCTCAAGGCTTAGGGATCTAAGTGGAAGAAGAGGTGGGAAGAATGTGTCAGAGGTGGTAGAATACTCCAAAATAACAGCATTACCCAGACACAAAAGGACTTATTTACATAATAACTACGATAGCCTGCACAAGACCTGAACAAATTCAAACCAATCAAAAGTGTAGCATTGAGAAGGGGGAGTGAGACAAAATCCCACCTGTAACCAAGAAGCTATTTGCAATTGATATCTGCTGGGAAAGAGGAAAATCAGTTTTCTTCAGTGGAGTGTCTTTAGGTTTAAGGACATACTTCAGGGCAGGTCCCATGCCCAGAAGAAGATGGCCAACACAAAACAGACTCCATATTTTCCGTATGCTTTTTGTTTTGTGTTGTTATTTATTTCATTTGGGGGTTTATTTTTGTTTTGTTGTTATTATTGTTTTGAGAAAGGAAGGGGGTATGAAGTTTAGTGGGAAGGGAAATCAGAGGAATCTGGAAAGAATTGGAGGAGGAGAAAGAATATAATTCAAGCATATCATATCAGCCTTGGTGTAAGGAGGAGGGGACTGGACCTGCCTTGGCTGAGTCTGCCAGGCTGGGCTGATTCCCCAGGGGAGACCTTGCCTTGAAGGAGGTGGGAGTGGGGAGTGGATTGGTGGGGAGGGCTGGGGGTGGGAGGAGGGAGGACAGGGGAATCTGTGGCTGATATGTGAAATTAATTATAAAAGAAAAATACTATAAAGAAGATAGAACAGCACAGGAAGAAAAAAAATTAAATAGAAAAATGTGGTCCATGGCCTATAGGCTTAATTAAAAGGATGACTGCCTGATAAAACCAATGACTTAAACAGGAGTAAGGGTTTCCTGAATAGTAGCCAAAATGTCTAAGATGCAAGGAAGAACTTACTCCTCCTCTCAAGAACTGTGGGAACCCTAAGCTCAATGAGAAAAAATAAATAACTGAACATATATCCGAAGATGACTTCAGGGATTTAAAGAGAGAAAACATGTGAGGGATCGGAGATGAAAGAAATAGAGGAAGTTATGTAAATATATTTTAATTCAAATAAAAATCTGTTTATTTAAAAAGTCACATAAAATTCTTCAACAAGCAATCAAAAATACTCTTGAAAAAATTGCAAAAAAATGGAAAATCTCAGCAAAGAAATAGGAGTTGGTTTTAATTTAATCACCTAAATGCAAATTATATAACTGATAAAACATAATAGATAATGTCTTTTAAATAGCTATATGCACTCAGTGTAGAGTCCAGATAAATAACAGTTATAAAGTTTAAGACAGAATTTATCTGTTCTTAACAAGAAAAGAAAAAATGTGGGGGAGGGGAAACCTAGACTCTCAGGTGTCTGTGGAGTATAAGAAATGGTCTAAAATTCATATAATCACAGATCTAGATATCTACAAAAAAAGAGATTTAAAAGAATACAATACAATGGAGATTCCTTATGTGAACAAGATGGAAGGGAAGCCTGAAACCTTCCTTTCTACAATGAGGATACCAAATTCAGTAATACATAGACTAATTTCCTCAAAGAGAAATCCAGAAACAAACTAATAGGCTCCTGCATCTCAGGCAAGCAGGAAACCAGCTATCCTGAAGTCAAGATGAAAGGCTGTGGTACTTACTCACCATGATCTCTTTGTCCAGCTCAGCATAGTATAATCAGGAGAAAACTCAATTGTTGGCTTCTTCCTGGAGAGGGAAAAAAGAAAAGACTAAACATAAGTCAAACATACAGACTTCTGGGGGTGGGGCTGTATATATGGAATTAAGTTACATCTTCCCTGAGCCTGAACACTGGTATTAAAGGGTGCCAGGTGGAGGGGCCATTGAAAATAAGACAAATATTTAGAATAAACCCCCACTAAGTATAGAACAAGAGAGAAAAAAATCCCATTCTCAGATTCTCATTGGGAAGGGAAAGAGTTGGAACATATGTATAACATGCTGTTTTTTTCAGAGAGCTACTCAAGGTAGTGGCTCAAATACCATCACTCTCAGAACACTGACAGGACCTGGCATGCTCAACATGTCTGAAAGAAACTGAGACTAAACCAGATTTCTATGACTTGCTGCTGCTCCACTTAGAATGTAGTAGAACAGAGTTTCATACAACTTAATGACTTCTATTTTAGGAAAGGGAAGGATAGAATAGGGTGAGTATTCAACAATTTATTTTTTAAGGCTACTTCCCATAGAAATTACTTCTGTTTTGCCAGTAAAATCAATAATGAAACGTACATTTTTCAACACATTTTTAAATTAAAATAGAACTATATCACTTTCCTCCTTCCTGTTCCTCCCATAATCTCCTCTCATGTACTCTCCCTCCAACCCCTCTCTCCCCAACTCTCAAATTGACAGCCTTTTTCTTTGGTTATTATTGTTACATACATTGATATGAATGTGTGTATGTATGCACAAATATATAAATACCACCTGCTAAGTCTGTTTTTGTTGTTTGTGTGTATATGGTTACAGGCTGACCACTTTTTATTGAATAATAAATAAGGGGCCACATCCCTGGGAGAAGCCAATTCTCCATCTCTAAGCAGTTATTAGTTGCCTATAGTTCTTTGTCTAGAGGTAGAAACCTGTGAAACTTTCCCCCTTCCACATTACCATGTCTATTGATATGGCCATTGTTCTGGTCTTCTTTAAGCAGCTGTTTCTAGGAGAGACTGTTTCACAGCCGATTTTGTGATATTCTGGCTCTTATAGTTTTTCTGCCCCGCTTCATTGATGTTCCCTGAGCCATAGATGCAGGAACAGAAATGTAGGTGGATCTATTGGGGCTGGGCTTCCCACAATTCCATGATCTCCTCATTGTGACCAGTTGTTATCTTCTGTGATGCTTTCCATTTGCTGTAAAGAAAAGTTTCTTTGATGGGGGTGGTAGCTACACTTATCTTTGAGTATAAGGATGCATAATGTACTAAGGAATGCTGGTCTAGCAAAGTGGTGGTAGTAGATTCTTTTCTAAGTTCCATGATCTCAGTAGCCCTGGGAAGATGGATAGATTTCCAGTACAAGGTATGATTTCCCTCCTGATGAGCCTCGAGTCCAACTAGACAGCTGTTGACACCAACCAGTGTACCACTTAGTGTACTGTTATGGATATCTTGGCATGCTGGTCATTTTGTGATTCATAAGTATTGCAGCAGGGTAAGACTATTAATTGCTCCTCTCTGCTGGCAGTTTGTATAGTATTTTCTGGTAGCATGGAAACTATACTACAAGAAGACGGTTTTTAAATTAGAGCCAGCTCAAATCATCCAAGTCCTATGTCCTAAGTGTGCAGTGTCTTCAGCAACAGGGATTTATCTTAAACCACCAAAAAGCAATCAAAGGCAATATCAATGGTTTATATTGTTTTAGGGGTCAGGAGGTTCCTCATGCCTGGAACTAGAGGTATTTTTGTTGTGGTTGTTGTTGTTAGTCTATGGTTCTTGAGGGGAACAGTGACAGCACAGATGGCATAACTTCCTCTCCCCCCTCCATCCCTCCCTCCCTCTCTCCCTCCCTCTATCTCTCTATATATAGTATATATTTTTATTTTTCTTTATAGCTAAATAGTATTACATTGTGTATATATGTACAATATTTTAATTATCCATTCTTCTATTGAAGGACTTTATGTTGTTTCCATTTCCAGGACTATATACATATACACACACATATGTATTTATGAGAGAGAATATAATTTCAGCTAAAAATACAGCTGCTCTTGCTATTCATTATAGCCAGAACCTGGAAACAACCTAGATGACCCTCAACTGAGGAATGGATAAAGAAAATGTGGTACAGTTAAACAATGGAGTATTACTCAGCTGTTAAAAAGAATGACATCAGGAAATTCAAAGTCAAATGGATGGAACTAGAAAATCAATCATCTTGAGTGAGGTAACCCAGATCCAGAAAGACAAACATGGTATGTACTCACTCATAAGTGGATATTAGCTGTAAAGTAAAAGATAACCATGCTATAGTCCACAGCCCCAGAGAGACTAGGTAACAAGGAGTGCCCAAAGAGTGACACATAGATTTCCCTGGGAAGGGGAAATAGAAGAGATCTCCTGGGTAAACTGGGGGAAGGTGGGGATGGGAACATGAAAGATCAGGTTGGGGGTGGGATGGATGAGGAAAGTAATGAAAGAAATGTATTGACTCAACAGGGCTTTTTGGGGTCAGGTAGAAACCTGGTGCAAGGGAAACCCCCACAAATCTACAACGATGACCCTAGCTGAGACTCCTATCAACAGTGGACAGGTAGCCTGAACATGCCATCTTCCTGTAATCAGATTGGTAACTACACCAATTGTCATCAGAGAGCTTTCATCCAATGACTGATGGAAACAGATGCAGAGATCCACAGCCAAGCACTGGGTTGAGCTCAGGGAATCCTGTTGAACAGAGGGAGGAAGGATTGTATGAGCCAAGGGGGTCAAGGTCATCACAAGGGAACCCACAGAGACAACTAACCTGGGCTCATAAGAGCTCACAGACACTGAACCGACAGCTAAGGAGCCCGCATGGGACCAACCTAGGCCCTCTACATACATATGACAGTTGTGTAGCTCTACTTGTGGGATTCCTAGCAGTGGAAGCGGGGCCTGTCCCTGATGCTTTTGCAAAGCTATTCCTCATACTGGGTTGCCTTATGAAGCCTTAATATGAAGGGAGGAGCTTAATCCTATCTCAACTTGATATGCCATGCTTTGTTGACACCCACGGGAGGCCTGCCCTTTTCTGAATAGAAACAGAGGAGGAGTGAATTGGGGGTGGCAGAGGACAGGTGGGGGATAAGGAATAGGAGGAGAGGAGGGAGGGGAAACTGTGATCCAGATGTAAAATAAACAAACAAATTTAGTAAAAAAAAAAAAAAAAAAAAAATGCTCCAAAAGTGCAATATCAAAGACAGACACCAGAGGGAGCAAAATATTGTAAAAATAAAAAAAAAATTAATAAATCTTTATAATGAGTAATCCACACATCCAATCCAGAAGTCTGAGAAGCCCCCAGAATCTCTAACCTAAGGATAACTGGTGAAAGCCTTCTTCTGTATAAAGTAGAAATATAGAGAAGTGAACATTTTCTCAAACAGGAAGGTTATGAGATGGAACTAAGAAATGTGGCCCACACAAAGCCTGAAATGCATTCCCCAAACTTGATGCTATAAAAGGCATATAAATTATCTGACAAATGACTCAAAATAACTGGCACAAAGGTATCAAGATAAAAAAATTACATATACACAAAATAAAGATATTAAACAAAGTGATAGGTAATATAAAATCCAAGTTAAAGAATAAAATATGTAAACTGAAAAACTCCCTGGAGAGCTTCAACAGCAGCCTTGATAAACCAGAAAATTGGGTTATAAAACTTGAAGACAGGCAGCTTGAAATTATAATGCAGAGGAACAAAAAAGAATACATATGAAAAAGAATGAAGAAACTGTAAAGGATGTGTAGGATACTATGAGGTAGCTATTTATACATATTAAGAGATAAAACAAGGAAAGAGAAGGAGGAACACAACTTATTTGATAAAATACTGGGTAAAACATCACAAATACAGAAAAATAAATGGGCCTCCAGACTAAGAAATTCAACAAAACGAATCTACAGAACTTGACACTGGCATACATCATAACCAAACTGTTAAATGTGAAATACCTAAATGAGGTACAGATGTAAACAGAGACCTGCCTCTGCCTCCTAAGTGCTGGGATTAAAGGCATGTACCACTGCTGCCTGGCTTAAACAGAGAATTCTTTTTTTTTTTTTTTTTTGGTTTTTCGAGACAGGGTTTCTCTGTGTAGCTTTGCGCCTTTCCTGGAACTCACTTGGTAGCCCAGGCTGGCCTCGAACTCACAGAGATCCGCCTGGCTCTGCCTCCCGAGTGCTGGGATTAAAGGCGTGCGCCACCACCGCCCGGCCCCGAGAATTCTTAATAGAGGGAAATTTAAATGGCTGCTATGGGATGTTCTGTATGCTGTGAATGTGTTGCTCTGACTGGTTGATAAATAAAATGCTGATTGGCCAGTAGCCAGGCAGGAAGTATAGGCAGAATAAGCAGACAAAGAGAATTCTGGGAAAGAAAAACAGAACTGAGGAAGAGATGCCAGCCCTCTGTCCAGGGAGCAGCATGTAATGGCACACAGGTAAAGCCATAGAACATGTGGTAACATATAGATTAACAGAAATGGGCTGAGTTTAAGTGTAAGAGCTAGTCAGTAGTAAGCCTGAGTTAACGGATGAGCAGTTTTAATTAATATAAGCCTCTGTGTGTGTTTACTTGGGTCTGAGTGGCTGCAGACCGAGTGGGACACAGGAACACTTTCTGGCTACAAAATGCTGAGAAACATTTAACATGTTAAACATCCTTAACTATCAGGGAAATACAAATCAAAACTACTTTGAAATTTCACCTTACTCCTGTCAGAATGGCTAAGATGTGTAAAACAAATGACAGGATGGAAGCAAGGGTAACACTCCATTGTTGGCAGCAGTGCAAACTTGTACAGCCACTTTGAAAGTCAGTGTTGCGGTTTCTCTGAAAACTGGGAATCAACTTACCACAAGACCCAGCCATACCACTCTTGGACATACACCCAAAGGATGCTCAATCAAACCACAAGGACACTTGCTCAACTATGTTCATAGTAGATTTATTTTTAATAATCAGAAACTGAAAACAATCTAGATGCCCCTCAACAGAAGAATGGATAAAGAAAATGTGATATATTTACACAATGGAGTATTATTCAGCTATTACAAATTTGCAGGCCCATGGATGGAACTAGAAAAAATCATCCTAAGTGAGGTGACCCAGACGCAGAATGAAAAATATGTTATGTGGGTATAGGATGTTAATTAAATATTAACCAAGCTACAATGCCTAGACCCAGAGAGTTTAGGTGTAGCAGAAGGTACCAGTGGGGCATATGGCTCTTCTGAGCAGAAAGAAATAGAATAGGTTTTATGGGTGTACTGGGGCTGGGGTGGGGCAGCAGGATCAAGTGGGGAGGGGAAATGAGGTTGAGGGAGAGAATGTAGGGGAGACAGCTGGAATTGAAGGGCATTTGAGGGGTTGTATGGAAACTTAGTGCAGTAGAAACTTCCTAAAATAAATAAAGGCAATTCTAATGAAGTCTCCAAATAATGAAGGAGACAGAGTCCAACTGGTCTTCTCTTGTCACCACATGAAACTTCCTGTACTAGGACAGGGGTTACATCTAATTGAGTTGTTGGCCAAAGGGGTCCCAGGGAAATTCTTAAACAGTCCAGGCTGTTGCCAAGATGATAGGTTGCTCTCCGAAGTGGATTAAGATCCTCAATCAAAATATAGACAGTGACTGAATGGATAACCAAATGACAAAATAATATTTAACAATATGTTAATTACAAGAGACTCACGAAATGGTTATCAAATATGAATAGGAGTGACTACATTTACTTCATATAAAATAGTCTTTAAGGCTAAAAATGTCAGAAGAGAAGAGAACATTCTATACTAATAAAAACTGGGTCAATTCTAAAGTAATAAATAACAATTATAAATATATATGCACCCAACAGTGGAGTTTAAAATATATAAAACAATTGAAAGCAGCAGAAACCACAATGTAATACCAGAAAGGAAAACTTCACAACTACTCTTCAAATGTGTTATATAAACTAAATAGGAAATTGAAATGAGAACAGAGAAATTTGAGCAGCACTCTGAACTAACTGAAACTAAAAGATATATATATACACATGCCCCCAGTAGTAAGATACTTATTCTCCCTGAGGACAAACACAGAGTCATTAAATAATAGCATAAGCTAACTGACCTAATAAATATGTATACAATATTCC